AAAATGATCATTTGATTGATACGATTGTGATATGAAAATAATGCGACTGATTTGATAAAAAAAATTGCTATCGAAAATTGTTTTTTTAGCTTGAAGTTTGCAATTGATTTTACGGTAAATGTAACTGATAATGTAAATAAACGGAAGAGAAGAATAATGGAATGCTTTTGAGCATCACAAAAGTGAACGAACAAAAGCATATAACATTTTGTTTGAAAAATTGCAATCAAAACGATAGATAGCAAGACAAATTTTTCAATAACTCTATTGCAAATTGCTTATTTATCAATATTTCAGCCTGTAATAATTATCTTTTAAAAACTTAATAGACGATAACATATTTTATTAAATTTTGTATGGAAAATTTATGAAAATTTATCGAGAGCAGTTATAATTAACTCACATTACTAGATGGAATATTGATAAATTGGATTTCACGATTGTTTGCTGATCTCCGATTGCTTGCTTTGTAATTTTCACGCATGTATGGAAATTGTTGCTTTTGGATTAATTTTTCTACTGGTTGTTGCAATAAATCAAATCTTAAATTTAAACAATTATCAATAAAACTACAAAGATTTTTGGTAATAATAGTTAATCAATTATAAATTTTATCAAATGTATTACATTCATGATTTGATAGAATGTATTTTTAATCATAATAGATTAAAAAGCTTAATCCATTATAAATAAATAAAAACTGATATTAACTGATAACATATTATGTTTTATTTTTTTAATCTGAGAACTTTGATTTTTTTAGAATGAAACTATGAAATCATTCTAAGTTATAGGCATAAATTAAAGAAAAGAAACCTTTGTAGTTGATGATTGCTGTATTGACCATTAATAATGGTAAATTGCAGAACTACCAATAATATGACGATAAGAATGGCCCTCGTTGAAGCACTTAGATCAAAGCATTGCTTGAAACTTACCATAGCAGCAATCAAACTTTTCTGTATTCTATTGTACAATTATTTTTGGAATACAATATATCAATTGCTGACAGTAAAGTGGAGTTGATGATGATGCAGCAAGAAGCAATATCTTCCAAAAATATATGACTACTTATGTACACATACACACACGCACACACTCACGCATATTCTACCAACAAGTGTGTACTGTCGATGTGCAGAAGTTCAAACGTATGCATTCATGTAAAAAGCATTCATATTCAAAAAACATTTACAAATAAGCAAAAATAATCAACATAAAAATGGATATCAAAAATATGGCAAAAAATTTAAACTTGTAATGTTTGGTAAATTAAAAGAATGAAAATATGATTTATGAAGAAAACTGAATTATACTATCAATATTTCTTAATTTGTAATCAGCAACACTGTCATAGTCATTATCATTACTGTCAATAATCATTGATAGTAGTATATGTTTATGCAGTAAAAATGGCGAGCACTCGCGTGGTCAATTATTGTGTAAATACAAATTTCTATATCAACATTTCTTTATCATCACTTTATTCTATGCATTGATAAGTCATATTTCTAGTACTGAACTTTGTCAATAAAATTTGCATAAAAAAATTGAACGGAAGTAATTAAAAAAGAATTGACATTTAACAAAAGTAATTTATGTTTGACAAAAAAAATCATTTTCTTAACGTTAATGCATAGCCATTACGTTTACATATTCTTTTTTTGATAAAATTTTTTATAATTTTCAAAACTTTTGGCAACAATTTTTTGCATATTAATTGTTTATAATTAATTTTGATTTTGGCTAAAAATGTGCAATTGATTTAAAATTTAGATATAAGTCTAATTTATTACTACCATCAACGTCTAAATTTTTGTTTTTTTCGTCTAGTTTTGGATTCAGAATTATTTTTCATTTTAAAAAAATCTGTTAAAAACCTTTTAGTTAGCAAGCAATAACTGACTTTATCTCAGTTATTTTATCTAAAGAACGTATGAACAGAATGTAGCCGTACTCAGTTTCAATGCAATAATGACAGTACATAACATACTCTTAAGAATAATACAAAAAATTTTTGATGTTTTAAAAAATAATGATGCAAACGAAATAATTGATGTTTAACAAATGATAACCGTAAATTGGATATGCAATCTTCTGAAAGTCATCTATAAAATAGTTTTAAAAAGTTTCACTTTTCTAATTAATTAATTAATTTTATGAAAATATGAAAAACATATTACTGAATGTATAAATTTGCAGCAAAGTATTTACATTTTGTATTCATAATTACATAAGATTTTCATTAATAGTTTAATTACATTCCCTCAACAATTTTTTGTATTTTTGAAATTAGCAAAAGTAGAATGAATGCGCAAGTGACAGGTATCATAAATTTTGGCTCCAAAAAGCAACTTTTGACTTATTGCTCAAGTATGAATTTCTATTTAAAACTGAAATAAAATTCAAATGATTCAATTTTATAGAAATTCTAAAATTAATGAAATCGTTTGAACTTGAAAAATTTTTATCAAGTTTTTATAACAATTAAAATTGAAGCAGTGTTGTATGTAACAAATGGAAGGATTTGAATTGTATAATGAAATGATAACTATCTTTTCGATTTCTGTTAATTTATTTGGCAATATTGAAGTTGAACAACAAGATTTTTTGCAGTACGAAAATTTACATATTTAAAAAAATGTCGCATTGTCTTCAACAGAATAATTTTAAACTGCCTCAACCCCATGTATTTTCATAAAGTCCACAGAAACGATTCAAGCTGCATCAGATTAATTTTTAGACTTGAGTTTATTTCTTGAAGTGCTAGTTGTGCTTTCATATCACGCAGTTTCCTAAATTTGAGTACTTGGTTTTTTTTTTTCTGCTGTTTTGTTAATATTTTTCACATTTATAAAAAATATATGATTTTAAAAAGATCATATATATTTTTTCAAGAATTATTTAATTCCATGAATTCTGAAGCAAGATTTAGTTGAAAATATGAATTATGTGTCTTAATGCATGCACATCTTACGATAGCTTACTTGATATTCTTTTGACAAAAACAAACAATAAATTATTTGAACTTTAAATGAGTTTAAAATTTTTTGTGAAATTAAACATATATCTTTTCTATTATTTGCTAGATATAAAGTCAGTTTAGAAACTATTTGTTATATTACAAATTAACATGATATTTATTCTCTGAAGAAGTACGGAAAGTGAATTTCTACCGCACTGTTTATTCTTTGGTTCCAATTCCATGTTACTTCTTCTTAAGCATTTGAATATGATGGAATGAAATATGAATGGTTCAAAAATGTCAACATTTTTTGTGCATCAATTCATTTTAATTTCATCGTCGATAAATCAAACACAAGACATATTAGAAGAATCAGATTTTGACCTGATGCTTCAGGCAATTTAAACATTTTAATAATGCATGTCTGTGTTTGAGTGCATCAAAAAATAAATTATCACATTTGCATTGATCTCTGTCAGTTTTTTATAATTGAATAATAAATATGTGATATGCAAATTTTTCGCAATGATTTTATGGATTTTTATCTTTTGTTTGAGCAATAATTTATTGCAAAACTCAGAAAATTTTTAATTTTAAAAGTAAAAAACATGAATAATTGATTAATTTCAAATAAATTTGTGCGAATGTTGTGTTTAATTATTACTTTAATTTTTTGCTCTATGAAATTCACTTTGTGTTGGCCTTTTGCTGCTATATTTGCGCAGGATTGGCACAATTTCATCTAATTGCTTTATTAACTGCAATAAGCATAGTGTTGTTTTACATAATAACTTTCACTGTTTAAGTGTCCCATACCATGGAAATTTACTGAAGATTATGAACACAGTGTATTAATGACACAACGAGTTTTTTTTAAATAAATTATTTTAACTATGCAAAGCTTTAATGACTGTCCAAATTGCTTCATTAAAAGATTAGTTTTGTTTTGAGAAATTTTTTTCCTAATTAAACAATGCGTTTGAAATTAAAAAATTTTTATCGATGATTTCTTAAATGATTTTTGATCAAATGA